ATCTAATCTAAACTTCCCTTGCTGAAAACCTAAATGTGCCTTGCTGCAAATCCTCCTAAGGATATACATGGCCACACAGGTATTGGTCTCTTCCTATTGCAAATAGTCTTGCTGTGACCCCCTCCTGAGAGTCCAACACTGGGTGATTCCTTCCAATCAAGAAGCCCCAGGCCATTCCATAAGAACTCTTTCCCTGACATCCTGGTTTCTGCTTGGGTAGATGGAAGCTCTTAAATAGGTAGCTTATTTCCTCTTGGTCTCTCAGAAACCATTTATCAGGAGAGTTTGTGAATGTAAACAGAAACAGCTTATAGCATGGTGGCAGCAAGCCCAGGTTAGTACTTTACCAAAAAGCTTCTTGACCTGCTCCATCACCTACCTAAGACTGTAACTCAGACTGACGTTCTCCAAATACGTTTGGTAGCTATTGTGACCATATATGAATTTTCACTGAAGTAGAAAGTCTCCCTTCAGCCTTTTATGGCCAGGTTTATATGTGGCTTCGCATCCTTCCATTAAAATGCTTCTAGTGTTATGAGATATTAAAGTAGTCTTCATAGAGCTGATAAAACCACCTTTTTAGGTTAATTAGATCCCTGTGCTTTAATTTAATTTAATAGGATAGCTATTTTCCTGGTGGTGTTGAATTAATAGCATGATGAGTGTGGTCTCTAAGAGTGGATTCACCTTTACGGGAAATTTTACAGGAGTAAAGTGGCACTGTTATCTAATACAAGATTGTTTTCTTTTTACAGTGGTATTTTGAAACACCACTTTAATGGGTGTATTATTTGTCAATGACCTTCTCACTCTTACAGGTGAGATGGTTCTTCATAAGTCTGACATAGCATAATCCTTGTGGTTTTCCCGTGAGTGCAGAAAAGACCTCAAGGCCCATTCGACTGTTATATGTGCTGATATCTATTCTTATTAACACGATCAGTAGAAGATTATCTAGATGAATTTGTTATAAACTTGACTAACCACAAGTCAAACAACATGCTTGGTTATTTTGTCAGAGGTACAGTGGCTTCTACTGCCAGTTTCAAGAATGGTTCAATCCTGGTTATATGAAGGCGTTTATTTTATACTTTTACAAGATATTTCTTGTATTTGTTGTATAAGACAGTTTTACTTCTCTGTTTCATAAAGCCTGGCTTTGAGGGCTTATTTGTTTTCAGATTACTTTTACTTTAAGGCGTGTAAAATATAGTCATACTTGTTTTCGTGAGGACATATCCTAGATATGCCATTTGAATTAGGTTTGAAATATGTTTTATAGAAAAAAAGGATGATCTTGACTATTACCTATTGGGTATTGAACTCTCTTCTTATGACTGGCTGTTGCAGTGTTTCAATTCATTTCTTTTTAAATTCCAATGTTTCTTAATATAGTTTTAAAGAGTAAGAAATCTTATATACTAAAAAAAAATTACACTTGTTCTGCTTTTTTGAAGATACCATGCAGGACTGTCATTCATTAACCCCACTATAAAAACATTTTTAATTAATACGATTTTTGTACACACTGATTTTTATAGCTTCCATTCTGACTGATATTTTAATGTTCATGTCTTTTGTTTGTATAAGATACATTTTTAATTGGTTATGTGTTAGAAGGTGGAACTGAAAGATAATTAACATACGCTGACCAGGGAGCCAGAAAGGCTTTGAGTGATGCCTTGCTGAAGTGTATATTTAAAGTTAGTTAATTTTGCCTTCCTGCTGGGAGCTCAAGGCTTACTAATGAGAATCCTGCATACAGGTATTTTTCTAAGGAGTAGATTTAGAGATAAGTAATCTTTTGTAATGTGCATTTTTTACATTTTATTTTGCCAGTAAAATTTATCTTAAAATAACTTTGAAATTATTTTCAGTAATTGCGTTAACATCTCTGTCGCTATAGGTTTGCATAAATAATGTTGATGCAAAATTTATGACGTTTCATGGTTTGGTTCCAAGGGATCTATAGTGTTTTTACCTTGAAGACTCTCAAGGTGGTCATTTATGTTGCAGTAACACATAAAGGCACCAACCGTGATCTGGGTTCCCATACGTTGGATATTATATATGTACACAATAAGAGAGAACTTCTACTTTTAGTCATCTTTCTTGTTTTAAATTTAATGATGATAAACTAAACAGCACTGTCTTGCCCTGTAAGGGGGGCTTACAAAAGTAGTTTCATTAATGTTGGATTAAGCAACCTTCACTGTTTTTGTGGTGAAATGTTCTCACTAATTTTGTCTCTTTCAGGGTCTTACAAGCAAATAGAAATAGGAGAGACATTTTAGCAGTTTTCAGGAGAATGATCTGTAAGAGCTTACCTGTGGCAATGCCACGAAGAAGTGCTCTGGATTGGTAGTTATTCTAAATCTTTGCTTGATAGCTAGATTATGGCAATGCTACATGAAGGCAGACTGCCTCCATGTGGGTTGGGATAGGTCCATGAGTTGTCCTCTGACCTGAAGGAGGTTGGTTTGTGCAGTTGTAGAATTGCTGAAGTGCTGTCTTTTCTGAGTGTTAATTTTTAGTGGTGGCTGACTGGAGTGCAGTAATTACCACAGTCCAGCAGACTCAATTAATCAAGTCTGCTCCAATGTGCTGTAATTACAGCATGTCAGAGCACAGGGGCAACACATAGGAGGTGCATGGGGGTGCACGTGCACCCCCTGAGTGCCGGTGTACCCCCTGCCAGGCTGCACTCCCTGTTTAGCCAGCAGGCAGGAGTAAGTGCTGGCTAGGGAGCCACCAACAAAAGGGGCCGCACTGCTTCCAGAAGTGCCCCCCCCCTCGACTCGATGTGCACGTGCCCTCTCTGACTCAAGTGGCACCAGACACCCATGTCAGAGCAGTCTCCTGGCTCATGTAGGCACCCCTGGAGACCACCTACATTTGCAAAGTAGCTATTATGCAATAAAAAGCTCCAGCCAGCTATAAAGTTAGAACTTGAAAATGTATACTAACTTTATAGCTGGTTGCTGTCAAGTTTTAATTTCCACGTGTAGCAGGATCTTGCAGAGAGAAACTACAGGGGTGTACTGTGCCCAGCATAAACCCCCTGAGCCCTAGGGATCACAGCAGCCATGATTCCTAGGACTCAGGGGTGAGTGAAACCCCTGGACACTGGAGATCATGGCTGTTGTGATCCCTAGGGATCGTGGGTATGTGAAACCCCCTGGACCCTGGGGATTGCAGCTTCAATGATCCCTAGGGCTCCTGGGGCTGGAGGATTGCTGCAGGGGCAGTCCTCTTGCCCCAGAGGAGCAGGGAAACTCTTGGGGTGGGAGGATCATAGTGATCCTCTAGCCCCAGGAGTTTCCTCCACCCTTCTGACCTGGGGGATCACCCCTGGAGTGGGACTGTGGGGAAGGGAGGGGATTGCCCCTGCAATGATCCCCCCCTGCCCTGGTGTTTTCATGTAGCCCTGGAGTGGGGAGATTGTCACAGTGGGCATCCTCCAGCCCTAGTTGTGTGTGGTGATCCTAGCTGCAGGAGGTTGCTTCTTGCCAGTGCAGGGGGAGACTGGGGTTGGGGTCCCCCTGGACTGACAATAAGGCATGGTGGGATCTAATGCATGATCCCACAATCACGCTTTCGGCTGTGCATGTGTGGCGTGGCAGGAGGCATGATTGTGTAAATTGCACATCGGATCCCATTGCATCTTTACCTGAATGTTTAGAGAGGGCCTTTAGCGCATAGGTCAACTTTTCCCTTGTCATTACCGTGTGGCGGCTTCTATGTTGTATGGCATGAAGCTGTATTTGGTCTTGGCTAGCTGTGCAAAAGCATACAGTTAGCATATAACTTTGACTCAGTGACATCATAAAAAAGTACTGAAAGTTTAAGGTGTATTCATGGGCAGGGGTTGTTTTGTTTTACTAGCTTTCCATAATATTCATCAAAGTGTTTTTTCATGTAAGATAGTAGGTGTTGGGTGTATGGGAAAAATATGTGAAAGATGAAGACAGAAATATTTTACTTTGATGAAAGATAAGAGAACGAATTCATTTTAGAAGTTTGACTTCTCTCTTTCCCTTTGGTCAATACTTGACTCATCTCCATCTGTGTATTGAAGGAGCCTTTGCTGTCATTTGTACAGACCACATATAGGGCTGGGGCTTAATTGCAGTGCCTATGCTCAATAGACTGTGGAAACTACTACCTTAAAAGTTAAAAACTTGTAATTTGATTGGTTTACAAATGCAACCTTTGCTGCAACAGGAGAGCACTCACAAAGGCACTTATTACCTACATTAGGCTCATATGAGGGCCGTCAAGTAAACATGCATTTTCCCATTATATATTGCCATTAGCTTGTAGGGAATGCCTAAAAGGTTTCAGGCTTTGGAGATAAGGGGTTTGCTTTTATAGCAGAGAGAAACTATACACTTGAAAAAATATACATCAACTCTAAGTAAAAGTATACTTCAATTGGCTATTTTCAAATCACTAGTTTGATTTCGCAGAACTTTCAGGTTCAGCAGTGGGCTCTTAAAACAGGTCTAAGAGATTTCTTTCTAACATGTTGGAAAACATCAGTAGTTTGTCTTTTTTATTCTTTTGCTGCACCAATCTCACTAATAAGATGAGTAAAATTAATACATAATTGTACAGTAAATATAATTGTTTACTTTTAGGCAGTGTACAATAATTTAGTATTTAAAAAAAAATACCTCAAAGATTGTCCTGTTAGGCTGTAATTATAACTGTTTATGAAAATGCTTTAAAAATCAGTTTAATTGTAATGGACTTTTGCAAGTACCCTAAGATGCCTTTTTCTGTCTGAAGATTGAGAAATAGTAACATTTAAAAATCTTTTGAAGAATTGTTGTTAGTTATTCATTGTTTCCTGCTTACACCCTGAATATTTTTATTGTGATCAGATTTTTGTTTAAATACTTGTTTCTGCTTAAATAATTAGTGGGAAACAATGCAGTAACTTGAAAATAAACATTTGTTTTCACAAAGATAATTTGGAAAAAAAAATATTTTTGCAGGTACCTTTTGATTTATAATCCAACAGAACAAGAGCGGTTCTCAGTAGTTTCAGTGAATGTGAATTCACCCAAAGTTAAAGTATTATCCCCATCTGGAAAACTTGTTATGGTCCAGGTTTGTGCTGTTTGGGGTGGAACTACTACAGTATCACATGAATCATATCAGGTATGTTACTTTTAATAAAAAGCATTTTTTTTTTGGATTTTCTGTTTTCTGTATAGCTTCATGTTAGAAGCTACATAGTTCATGAAAAAGGATACTGAAAGAAGCCGGGACTTCACATATTGTATATCTTTGGCCATAAAAGCATGGTGATAATTGAGGATCTACAGTGATTTATGTGTTAAGTGGGCCCTTCAGGTTCAAAGGTTTGAGCAGTTGTGTCTTGTTTTCCCATCATATTGATTTGCAGACAAGTTGTCATTTCTATTATGCTGTATTCAGGTTAGGTACTTGTTCAGGAGCCAGCTACTTGTTTTGGTTCTAACAGATGCTTAAGGTAATTATCATGTCCTACTATGTGAAAGTAAACCATCAGTTCTGTTTTCTGCTTTTTTTTTCATTTGCTATGTGCTGTAGCTTCATATTAGAAGTTATATAGTTCATGTAAAAGAATACTATAAAGAAAACTGGGTTTCAGATACTATATATGTTTGGCCATAAAATTGGGAGTGAAAATTATCAAATATTTCATAGGTCCCTATCTAATATGTTTACTTAGTAATACTTTTCATTTGGAAGCTGGGTAGAATTCTTTTTTTGGG